GGAGACCATGCTTAACAAGGCGGAGAGGTTTCTAACACTGGTAAGCGTTTTGCTAACTCCGGGCGTCCCTGCGACTGCGCGCTGACCCTTATTTTCCTGTGGCAGGGCCTCCACTATTCGACGGCGCTAATGGACCAAGTGCGCGACGCTGGCCAGGTAATCTGGGACCTCAGCGAGCGCAACTCCGAGTTGTGTCGTCAGCTAGAGGAGGTTCGGGCTGGATCGGGCCCCGAGGCGGTAGCGGCCACGGAAAAGCGCGCGACCGATGCCGAGGAAGAGGTGGCGCGCCTACGAGCAGAGCTCGAGCAGTTGGGCGATTCGGTCAAGGAGCTACAGGAGTTCCTCCGTTTGGATCGGTCCGAGCTCCGCCTGTTGAAGTCAGAGGCGCTTGGTCTCTCCAAGAGGGCGGAGAAGGCCGAGGCTGAAGCCCGCGCTGCTTCCGCGGCGCTGGCCGAGGAGGTTCGCCTCCGCCCATCAAAGGACAAGGAGGCGATCGAAGCCTACAAGAAGTCCGAGAACTTCGAGCTCGGACTGACCCGAATGGGACGAGTATCCTATGAGTACGGATACAGAATCGCCCTGGGTCGCTTTGGCTCGTGCCCTCCTGGCTCCGAGGTGGAAAGGGATCCGTTCGCCTCTCACCCCGTGGATCTGGAGGTGGACATGTCGGAGGACGTGCCATTCGACGACCGCCCGAAGACCCCAGGAGAGTAGCGAGGGTTGTTTTTGTATGTCGGGGTCGAGGGCGTGAGGGGTTTCTGTATGGGTTTTGGCTTCTGTATCCCTTCCTTTTTAATAAGATGATCTTTTCTTCCGATTTCCGTGTTTGCGTAGTGCCTATGTCTTCAGACGAAATATTTCCTAAGGTTCTGTATGTTCCAAGTCCGGGGCACGGGGTCGCCATCCATTGTTGCGAGTCGGAACGTCCCCGGTCGGGATACTCCGATGACCCGATAGGGTCCCTCCCACTTTGGGGCCAGCTTCCCCCTTACTTGGGTCGGGTGGCTGACTTCGATTTTGCGCAGGACCAGGTCCTCTAACTTTATCGATCGGGGTCGCACGCTCCGGTTGTAGACCCTCGCTACGGCTCTTTTGTAAGAAAGAGCTTTCTGGTGTGCGTTGGCCCGTCTTTCCTCGAGCAGGTCCAGGTTGGATCAGAGCCCTTCGCTCGAGGCTTCTTCGCTGTAGTCTGTCGTCCGCGGAGTCGGGACGGCTACTTCGGATGGTAACACGGCCTCGGTCCCGAACGTGAGGCTATAGGGAGACTCCCCGGTCGGGGTCTTGGGGGTGGTGCGAAGCGCCAACAGGACGCTCGGGAGCTTGTCGATCCAAGCCGATCGGGTAGCGGATACCCTTCTCTTGAGGCCGTCGACGATGGACCGGTTGGTTACTTTAGCTAGCCCATTCGCCTAGGGGTAAGCCACCGAGCTGAACCTCAGCTGAATTTTGTGTTTGGCGCAAAACTCTTGGAATTTTCTGCCGGCGAACTGAGGTCCATTGTCGGTGACGATGGACTGGGGCAGGCCGAACCGAGTTATGAGGTTTCTCCACACGAACCTTTCCACTTGCGACTCCGTAATGGTTGCTAGGGGCTCGGCTTCGACCCATCTGGTAAAGTAGTCCACTCCCACGATGATGTACTTCCGCTGGCCGGAGGCGGGCGGAAGAGGCCCTAGTATGTCCAGTCCCCACTGCGCGAATGGCCAGGCGCAGTCGACGGGGGTGAATAGGACCGCCGGCCGTCGGGCGGTGCGGGCGTGCTCTTGGCACGAGCTGCACCGCCGCACGAAAGCTTTCGCGTCCTGGCGCATGGTCGGCCAGTAGTACCCCTATCGGAGTACCTTGTGCGCCAGGGCTCGTTCGCCTATGTGTTCCCCGCAGGCCCCTTCGTGCATGTCGGACAGAACCGTCCAAGCTTCGCTCGGCTCCAGGCAGTGCAACAAGGGGCGCGAGAAAGACCGCTTGTACAGCCGTCCTCCCTCTTCGGTGTACCACGCCTGCGTCCGACGCAAACGTCGAGCTGTAGTTGCATCGTCGGGCAGGGTCCCGTCCCGCTTGAAGCGCAGCATCTCCTGTACCCAAGTTGCCGACGTGCCGTGAGCGACGGTGGCGACGACCTCTATGGCTCGGCGGGGGAGTTCTTCGGTCTCGGGCCGAGCCCAGGGGGCCGGGCCGGACGCCAGTTTTGCCAGGGTGTCGGCTCGCTGGTTCTCGCTCCTGGGGACATTCGACAATTCAAAATGGGCGAACTTGGCGGCAAGGCTTTTTACCCGTGCCAGGTATTTCGCCATAGTCGGGTCCCGGGCCTCGTATCCACCGTCGAGCTGCCTAGCCACCAGTTGCGAGTCGGTGATGACGCGTATGTTGGTCACCTGCATTTCCAGTGCCAACTGGAGCCCCGCCAGGAGAGCCTCGTATTCTGCCTCGTTGTTGGTGGCCCTGAACCCGAAGCGGAAGGAGCGCTCAATCGAGCGACCGTCAGGTGTTACCAGTACCAGCCCTGCGCCGGCGCCTTTTGCGTTGGCCGAGCCATCTACGTGGAGGGTCCACGTGTCGCGCGGTGGCTCGGGTTCTTCGCCTGTATTCGGGGTCAGCTCCGCAATGAAGTCTGCCACGGACTGGGCTTTGATGGCGGTCCGAGGTATGTACTGTATGTCGTGCTCGCCGAGCTCCACTGCCCATTTGAGGAGACGCCCTGCAACGTCGAATTTGGACAGAACAAGCCGAAGCGGCTGATCAGTTATTACCTCTATCGGGTGGGCTTGGAAGTAAGGGCGGAGCTTTCGCGCCAACAGGACGAGTGCCAGCGCCAGCTTTTCGATCGGCGGGTAGCGTTCTTCCGGCCCGCTCAGCATGTGGCTGACGTAGTAGACCGGCAGTTGATCGCCGGAATTTTCTTTGACTAGAACCGAACTGACCGCGTGCCGGGAGACGGCAAGGTAGAGACTCAATTTCTCCCCCGGGGAGACCGAAGCGAGTCGAGGGAGGCTGGCCAGGTGTAGCTTCACCCGCTCGAAGGCCCTTTCGCATTCCGCCGTCCATCGGAAGTTCTTCGGATCCTTCAGGGCCTGGAAGAAAGAGTGGCAGCGATCTCCCGATCGGGAGAGAAAACGTGATAAAGCGACTAGCCTCCCGTTAAGGCGCTGCAGGTCTCTGATCGTCCGAGGAGGCTGCATGTTAATGATAGCCTGTATCTTTTCCGGGTTGGT